GGACGAATGGACAGATGGATGGACAGATGAATAAATGGATGGATGGATAAATGGATGGATGGATGGATGGATGGATGGATGTACTCCAACAGTTAATGTCCAAGTTTTGAACAAAGCTGTTGCACTCAGTGCATGTGTTGTGAATGACTCTCAGCTACCACCAAGTCAGTTTTTTTTTTTAGATTAGCAGTGGCGGCCATCTTGACTGAATCTACAAACAGTGTTTTTATAGAAGAACATCCAAATATTACAATGAGATATTCAATCGATCCATCGCTGTTAATGAGATATTTTGCTAACGGTTCAAACAAAAACACTGTGGCCCTTTCACCTTCTACAACGTGCACTACGTTTCCTGAGCACGGTCCCCCTCAGGCCTCAGAGACCAGTACCATCCCATCATGTCACAGAACCAACGGTCCAACAGAGAGGTGGCGTCCTCACCAGACGGACGCGTCTTTTTTTTCACTTCAACACAAAACATTTCATCACAAATCCTGAGGCGGCGCCTCTCATCAAGCGTTTCCTGACAACTGTCAGTTTTCAGAGAACGTTCTGTGACGAACAGAACCTTCGGTCGGGTCCGATCAAACCTGCAGACTGAAACTGAGACGGGTGGACGTGAGCGAACGACAGGATGGAAAGCAGAGACGAGAGGACAGTCCTGAAGTAGGACGAAGCGCAGGGGAGGCCCGTCTGTCCCAGATCGCTGTTTGACTGCGAGGGGAACAAGGAGGAGGAAGAACTGAGAGGTCCAAAATCTGGAGCTCGGAACTCAGTCACCCCTCGAGCAGCAAAGACCCTTGAAATAAATATCTGACGAACACCAGCAACCAGTCCAGAACCAGTCCAGAACCTGCAGCCTGAATGGGTTTAATTAAAGCTTCTAGTCTTCAGCATGAACTCACGCTGAGAATCGAAGGAATTGTAGCCGATGACATCGTGCATGATGTGTCAGTGCTCAGAATGCGTGTTCAGGATGACTCTCAGCTACTACCACACTAGATCTGAGCTCAGTGGCTTCAAAACTGGCTGAGCTATAAGCCTAAGTTCAGCTGGCTGTGGCGTCCATCTTGAATTCAGTTGACTCCAGTTGTAGACGTTCATCTAATCATTACTTTCTGGGAGGAAAATTTAAATCCATGCTCCTGTTCATGAGATATTTTGCTAACACTGAAGACAAACATGACTGGCACTTTGCCTTCGGCGGCGGGCCATGTAAGTTTTTGTAGTGTGGCGTCAGGTCCGCTGGACCTCAGTCTCCTGATAAAGATGGGTCTTGGCTAAGCTAACTCGAGCTACTTCCTGCAAACATGAGCTGAATGCTAATTGAACTGTGCTGGCACAGAGTCCGGGCCGGACCTGGACTCTTTTTGTGCCAATTACGTTTGAGGCTGAAACGACCTGACAGGGGGCTCTCAGTGCAACTCAGCAGGTCCGTGGAACCAGGTCTGCTCGACGTCCGAGGGCCAAATTAACTCCAGAGGAATAAAAATGACAAGAAGAATGATCGGAGGGCACGACGGGAGGACTTCAGCCATAAATCTGCAGATTACCGTCATCCGAGACGCTCGTTACCGTTTGTTCGGTAAATAGACAAACAAGACTCCGCTGACACGAAGGGCTCTTGCATGAAAGATCTGGAAGTTGCTTTCAGTCCCGACACTCTTCCTCAGGGCTTGAACCTGCAGCCTCAGGATTCTGAGACCGTGGTGCTGACCACTGAGCTACCGTTTCCCCACTAACCGTGTGAAACAAACGCTGAAGACAAAGCTAAAAGCTAAAAGCTAGAAGTCCTTCATTTGCACACACACGGGTTCTGGGTGCACGAGAATCCTTGCATATTTTTTGGGCTGTAGATACTTCAGGGGTTCTTCAGCTCTTTCAGCCGTTCAAACATCAAATTATTCGGCTTGTTTCAAATTCTTTCATCTAAAATGAACAGAGAAATCTTCCCATCTTTGAAAAACTAAAGTGTTTGTTTTCTACATCCTACTTGCTTCATTTTAGCTGTTTTGCTTGTTTTAAGTTTTATCTGTCGTGCTATTATTAATTTAGCTACTATTGCGCAAACATTAGCTTTTAGCTTACAACATGCTAGTTTTTCTGATAGCAACATTTGAACCAACATAAGTTTTAAGATGGCATTGTGCTAATATTAGCTTTAAGTTATTTTTTGCTCGTCTTAACTTCCAGTTGTTCCATTGTTTTTATGCATTAGCTGCAATTTTGCCTTTTTTTGTTTTTTAATAATAATAATAATAACAATAATAACAATAACAATAATAATAATAATAATAATAATAATAATAAGTTATGTGTTGTCATCGTATGTTCCTATACAATGGCAAAAATTGGCTCTCTGCATTTAACCCATCCACCCCTGGGTAGTGCAGTGGGCAGCTATTGGGGGCGCCCGGGGAGCAACTGGGGATAGGGTGTGGTGCTCAGAGACACCATGAGATGTACAGTGACTGGGGATCGAGCAGAGGACTTTCAGGTCCCGAGTCGGCTGCCCTGCCTCTACCTCATCTCAGCCCCCAAGCTACAGTTTTGGTCATTGTAGCCTTTAGCTACAGATTTGATCATTCTAACCTTTAGCTACTGGTTTGCTGGTTGGTCTCAGCCTTTAACTGTTTGATAATTTTAGCCTTTAGCAACTGTTTGCTGGTCTCTTCCTTAAACTATTTGAACATTTTAGCCTTTAGCTACTGATTTGCTGGTCTCTGCCTTTAACTATTTGATCATATTAGCTTTAGCTACTGGTTTGCTGGTCTCAGCCTTTAACTATTTGATAATTTTAGCCTTTAGCTACTGGTTTGCTGGGTGGTCTCAGACTTTAACTTATAATTTTAGCCTTTAGCTACTGATTTGCTGGTCTCAATCTTTAACTATTTGATTATTTTAGTTCTGTTTATATTTTTTAAATGTGCTCTATAAATAAAGTTGACTTGACTATTTTAGCCTTTAGCTAGTCGTTTGCTGGTCTCAATCTTTAGCTACTTCTTTTGAAACTTTGGTAAAAGTGTCAAAAGGAGAATTAGCAGCTTGTTTTATTTTCTGAACATTAACTCCGTTTCAGCTTCTTCAGTTGTTGTTCAGCTGTTTTAAACTAATTTCTCTGGTTGGAACTGAACTTGGAGGCAGAAGATCCGACCGAGCTGCTCCTCTGATTGTCATCAGAACTTCTCCTCTCCAGAACCATCGGCACATCGCCGACTCTTTGAAGGTTCTAAAAGCTGAACTCAGGGCTGTGCTGTTGGAGACGCTCGCTCGTCGTCGTTCTGCTCACAGATCAGGGACGGCACGTGCGCGGTACCGTGACCGACGTGTGGGCGACAGCTGGACTCACACCAACGCCTCCAACAAGTTCAGGACCGTGAAAGTTCTGCTGCATCCAGTTCCTGGTTCTGTGCAACACTTTGCGTAACGAAACAGAAGCAGCTTGTGTGAAACGATCTGGACCTTATGTTCTCCAGAGACAAACGCTTCGAAAGACGCAGGACAGAAGACCCGGAGAGAACTGAACCATAACTGGACCTGTGCTCGCTGCAGAACCTTTAGAATCCATCAGTTTCTGTACTGAGACTTCTGCACCTGTCCTCAGCTGTTCTGGTCCACATGTCCTCAGCTGTTCTGGT